TTCTACCAATGCATAGATACTTTTCTGAACCCTATCACAGTAACTTACATGTAGTTTCATTGCAATTTCTGAGTTGTATTTTGGAGTAGTTAACCTTTAGACTGAATTGCATATCTAGATGTTAATATTCTTAATGATTAAAACTTCTGCTTAACTCATTGTAAATAGTCACAGGTATTTTATTCCGAACTCATATAATGCTGGTGTGCTGTGCAGTCAATCATGAGGGGCATTCCTGCAAGGCATTGTGTGACATTCCTGCACATAATCTGTCATAAAATCTGCATGGAGGGAATTCTGTATACAAGTCTAATGTATCTTCACTAAAGCATTTTTTTTTCAGAAGGGGAAAATGGTATAGAGAGAATTTATTTCTGCAATTTAATTATCTCTCATGAATCTGCATAATATTCTAACAAATAAGTAGTAATGATGCATTCACTGGTAACCTGCATCATCCTACTCTGAAATGCAATTTCATGAAAATTAATAATATTTTCATTCAAAATACATGCTCACAGACTAGATCAAAATTTGCATAAACAATTCACTTTGTGCTCTGTTTAGAGTTGACTTTAGGCCAACCCTTGAAAGCAGTCCTTGAAATATAAAGCTTATGGCTGTTCAAACCATTTGAATCTCAACTATTTAGCTCAAATCTTGTTGCCCAAATAAAGAATAAGGATAAAGAAGAAAATCTTGGGCAGATGCAGTTGCCAATCCTGTTTTCAGATTAACCAGATATTGACAAAGTACAAAGGTTGTAAGCGTGAAAGAAAAAACAAACAAAATAACCTCAACTGCCATTAAATCACTGAAGAGTCTTTGATAATATCTAAATTATCTAACAGCTTTATACTTCTTCACTGATTCCTTATATATACTATAATTACCTTTAAGGTTAAAGTATATATGATTTGTGAATAAAATTATAATAGCCTTATGAGGAATAAACATTTAAACTATACAATGTTTTTTACATTAAAGAAAGTGCTGTCTTTTAAATTACTGTAAGATTGCATAGTTATTTAAGTTCACCCACAGCAAAACAAGGTAAGAATATAAGAAAACCTGGCTTACATAAGGGCATTCGCTTCAGGGATAGAAGTTAATTATCTACTAAAATGTGGATGGAATTTTCCTTAACATTACAGAGAAGTCTGAATACTTTGCAATTTTTGTTCTGGTTTCAACAGTATTAAAAAGCACAGGACAAATTCCATTGAACAGTAGCTGGTTTGCTTTCTGTAGCTTGATTTAGGCAATGCTAGCTATTTCTTCAACCTGGAAAGTAGATTGTGAATAAATATGACATACTTTTGCATCATAGAATATTCCCCCTGTAATCACCAATTAATTGAAATGGATCAATTTTCACACTGTTCATGTGCTTATTATTTTTGTAATCCTTTTCCCTCTGTTTGCTTATAAGCATCAATTTAATCCACAGAACTGTTACGTGAAAAACTTTGATTTACAAAGAATTATTTTAATCTGTTCCTGAGATTAAAAAACCCTTTAATTTAAATTCAAATATCCTGACTTTCAGTGCTTCCTTGGTAAAGTCTTTTTTCTCCATTCACCCTATTTTTTTTACAGAATTGTAAAGGGTATCTTGATACTGGTTTTGAAGTATCATATTTGATCTTCTTACAAGTAGTTCTTACATGTTCCTCTACCAGTTCTTTCTTACTAGGAGTAGGGAGATTAAGGAGGGGAAGAAAAAAAATCACTTTATATTTTGAAAGACTGCTTATGACATGAAAGATTATACTTAACATGGCAAATGTTCAATTAAGTTAATGAAACTGAGACATTTTGAGCATATTCATTTATTAGACTTAATGCACGGTCAGCCAGATGTTTATAGGATAAGCTAAACAAGAGAACTGAAGATGTACAGTCAGGTAAGATAATGTCTGCAGGAAAACAACCAAGCTCAGAGAGCACTAAGGACTCAACATAAGCTAAACATTCCTAGTTCCTTTAAATTCATAAAATGTGGTTTCTAGTCCCTCAAGCACTGTCATTACCCTTCTTCGAACTTTTTCCAGATTACTGAATTCTTGAACTATGGACTCAATATTAAAGATGTGTTGCCAATGCCAAATAAAGAACAGCGATTCCTCTGTTTGGAAATCATATGTCTCTTCATTCAGACTAATATTATCATATTAAATTGTTATCAGTCTCTTGTCAAGGCAAGCACACACATCTAATGTTCCTACTGCTTTCTTAGATTCTTTCACGTCTAAGAAAAGACTATTTTTTTCTGGTTTTTAGCCCAGCAACTTGGTCATTATTCAAACTGTCTCTGTGTTTTTTGTAGCCACACTGCTGATTCATATCCAGTTTCTAATAATATATTAATTTATATAATAATATAAATTCATATAAAAACTTTTACAGAAGTACTTTTGCTATACTAGTTATCTCCTGCTCTAAATCTATTTATTTGATGCATTTCCTAAATTGAAATCTTGCCTTAATCTTTATTAAACATTATATTGTCCATTGCTTCTGTCAAACACAATCATTTTGAATTTGATTTTCATGTTGTAGAATATTAGTTATCCTATCCCAGACATGCACAAAACATTTCATAGATGGTGGCAGGTGGTAGCAGCATGAGAATTTGTTGAAGGTGGCCAAAATAATCTAGGGCAGTGGTTCTCAACCTTTTTAATGCCGCGACCCCCAACCGGTTGTAAGTCGAGGACTAAACTGGTCGTAAGTTGAGGACTAAACCGGTCGTAAGTCGAGGACTACCCAACCGGTCGTAAGTTGAGGACTTTCCCTGTCCGGGAGCACCGCGTATGCGTGGTTCCGCCCCCTGCGCCGGCCGAGGCGTAGCTGGCAAGCGGCAGAGACGGAGCAGGCCGACCACCAGCTGGCCCAGCCCAAGGGAGGTAAGGCACCCGCCGGAAAAGGGGAAAAAAATGGCGGACAGCCTTACTTGGCGACCCCCGTGAAATGGTCGATCGACCCCAAATGGGGTCGCGACCCATAGGTTGAGAACAGCTGATCTAGGGGGTGCAGCTGTGACTAGCAGTAGGGGCAGCTTTTTTTACATTGGGCAAATAGCAATCTTAGGAGAAATAGAAGGAATAGGACTCAAGGGTAATGGTTACATTCTCTTTTAATTTAATTTAATTTAATTTAATAATTTAATTTATATACCGCCCTTCTCCCGTAGGACTCAGGGCGGTGCACAGCATATTAAAACAGACAAACAAAATACATCAAAGAACAAAAAACCCCCATAAAACCAAATTAAAAGCCAAATATTCGAAGCTGTGTGTCAATTAAAATTTTCTTAAAATCATCCCTACCTAA